CTGCCTCCAAAAAAAAAAAAAAAAAAAAATTACTAAATAGAATTTGGCAATATACAACAATTCTACACTGTGACCAAGTAGGGATTGTTTCGGGGATGAAGGTTGGTTCCCTGTTTGAGAATCAGCCGGTGTGATCCACGTGTTACTAGCTAACGAAGATAACTCACATGATCACATCCGTCACTGTGGGGAAAGCACTTGACAAGTTTAACATCCATTCGTGATTTAAACCTGGAAAAATAGAGAAGGAGAGGAACTTCCTCAGCTGGATAAAGAGCATCTGCACAAGCCCTGCAGCCAGCATTCTACTCGGGGGGAAGGAATCACCCTTCACCATTCAGATCCGGAACAAGAAAGGATGTCTGCTCTAACCCTCAGATCCAGCACAGTGCTGGGAGCACTGGCCACTGCAATACAGCAGGACCAGGAAATAAAAGGCGTGTAGATCACAAAGGAAAACACGAAACTGTGCCTGTTTACAGATGACTTCATTGTCCTTGTAGGAAATCCCAAGGCATCCACCAAAAACACGCCTAGAATTAAGTGAGGCCGGGCGCAGTGGCTCACACCTGTAATCCCAACACTTTGGAAGGCCAAGGCAGGCCAGTCACCTGAGGTCAGGTGTTTGAGACCAGCCTAACATGGAGAAACCCCATCTCTACTTAAAAAAAAAAAACACACACAAATTAGCCGGGTGTGGTGACACATGCCTGTAATCCCAGCTACTTGGGAGGCTGAGGCAAGAGAATTGCTTGAACCTGGGAGGCAGAGGTTGCAGTGAGCTGAGATCGCACCACTGCACTCCAGCCCAAGTGACAGAGTGAAACTCTGTCTCAAAAAAAAAGTGAGTTCAGCAAAGTCAGAAGACACAAGATCAATATAAAGGATTCAATAGTATTCCTGTATACTAGCAATGAACACACAGACACCTAAATTAAATATGCAGAACCACTTACAACCACTCCAAAAAGTGAAATACTTAGATATAAACCTGACAGAACATGCGCAGAACTTACATGCTGAAAACTCGGCAATGCTGCTGAAAGACGTCAGCACACACCTAGAGAGACGGCCACGTTCGTGGGTTGAAAGGCACAACAAAGTGGAGATGACAGTTCCTTCCAGATTGATGGACAGGTTTAATGCAATTCCTATTTAAAAAAAAAAAAAAAAAAAAAAACCCCAAGCAAGATGCGTTAATGGGTAAGGGCAAGTCATCCCAAGTTTTCTACGGAAATGTAAAAGAACTCAAATAGCTAAAACCATTTTGAAAGAGAACAAAGTGGAAGGAATCTCTACGCAGTTTCAAGACACAGAACCACAGTAGTCAACACAGTGTGGTACTGACAGAGGGACAGACGTGCAGATCCATGGAACACAACAGAGAACCCACAAATAGACCCACACAAACATGCCCGGCTGAGTTTTTTTACAAATGGACAAAAACAAAACCTTCAACCCAAGTCTAACCCTACACAAAAATAAAACAGATCCTGGACTTCAACGTAAAACATAAGACAATCAACTTTCAGGGCCAGGCATGGTAGCCCACACCTGTAATCCCAGCACTTCGGGAGGCCGAGGTGGGCAGATTGCTTGAGCTCAGGTGTTTGAGACCAGCCTGGGCAACATGGCAAAACCCTGTCTCTACTAAAAATACAAAAAATTAGCAGGGTGTGGTGGTGCGCGCCTGTAGTCCCAGCTACTCGGGAGGCTGAGAGGCAGAGGTTGCAGTGAGCCGAGATCGCACCACTGCACTCCAGCCTGGGCAACAGAGCGAGACCCCATCTCAAAAAAAAAATAAAAATAAAAAACTTTCAGGAAAAATAGCAGAAAATCTTTGGGACACAGGGTCAGGCAGAGTCATTATACTTGATACTAAAAGGATGATCTGTAAAAGGAAAAATTGATAAATTGTAATTAATTAAAATTAAAAGCATTTGCTCCATAAAAGACCCTGTTAAGAGGATATTTGCAAGCCACGTATCTGACAATAGGCTAAAATCTGGAATATGTAAAGAAGTTTCATAACAGTAAAATAATCCCATTAGAAAATGAGCATGGACAGGAAGAGACATTTCACCAAAGGTCCACAGATTGCAGATAAGCCCAGGAGAAATGCCTGTCATTAGGGAAGCAAGAACCACTGTGACACCACTCACACCCGTCCCGTGACAGGTCACTCACACCCGTCCCGTGACACGTCGCTCACACCTGTCCCGCGACAGGTCACTCACACCCATCCCGTGACATCGCTCACACCTGTCCCGCGACAGGTCACTCACACCCGTCCCGTGACACGTCACTCACACCCGTCCCGTGACGTCACTGCACACCCATCAGAACGGCTGGAATAAAAGTAGCAACAACCCCACGTGCCGGCAAAGATGCCAAGAAATCTGGTCACTCGGCTGTTGCTGGGAGGGTAAAGTGGCTCCTCAAAAACGAAACCTGAAATTGCCGTGGACTCAGCAGTTGCTTCCATGGATGTTTAAACCGGAGAGTTGAAACCCAGGTTCAGGCAGAAACCCATGCAGAGGTTTACGGCAGCTATAATAGACAAAAACTGCAAAAAGCTCAGCTGTCCTTCCACAGGAGAGCAACCGCACAAACTAGGGTGTGCTCACGCCACAGACGCTGGTCAGCGACAAGGAGGAAGGAAGCCTCCATCACGCAACCTGGCAGAACCAGAGGGTTGGCACGAATGAGAACCGCCTGCCCCGCGGGTACATGCCACAGCGTTCCCCTCCTACCACATTCTTGAACTCATACAAGGAGGCCGCAGGGCGGGGGTGGGTGCGGAAGGACACGGGGGTCCGGGCGTGGACAGGGCCCATGTCTGTAGTCTCAGTGTCAGGCCCTGGCTGGGATTCCTACTATAGCTGTGCCAAGCTGTTGCCAGTAGGGTCTGTTCAAAACGGCTGGGAGCTCCCCTATTTTAAACACTCAAGCCTTCTGGGGGTGGTGCCATGGCCTTCTCGGGTACTTTGCAGGAATGAAATGCAATCTTCAGGCCGCTGGGGGCCTGGGGCCCCTTCCCACCAGCCTGCCAGTTGGCACAGAGGCTTCGGACCCTTTCCAAACCCCTTCCAAACTGCAGTTCCAGCTCTTGATGTCAGAGACCAGGGCCCGGGCCCCCAGGCTTTGACCCTGTCCTGGAAAGGAGTAGAAAGCAAGAGCAGGAATTTGGGAAAGATGGGCGATCCCACTGCAGAGGCCCTCCCGGGACCCCGCCCTCCCAGCCTCGCTAAATGCAGGCTTTGGGAGAGGGTGGGCTGCGTGGGGTCTGTGTTGCCCCAGCAAGGCCCAGGAGAGTGTGCGGGGACCATGCTGCCAGCACAGCCCAGCGCCCTCACGGCCACACCCCAGCCTGTCCCTTCAGCTGCTGCTGAGCTGCTCAGAGGTCCGTCTCGGGGTCCAGTGTGACCTCTGCTTGGCACCACCTGGCTCAGTCCCCATGCTGGCCGCTGCCGTCCATATAGCCGAGAACAACCATGGCGGCCTCAGGCCCAGGGGGTCCAGGAAAGACCCCTGGGGCCCAGGGAAGTGGGCAGTGCCCTCCTGGAGTAGACAGGAGCCAGCAGCTGCCAGCGTCGCCCTCAGTCTTGGCTGCCCGGGAGGTTTTCCAAAGGCCCGACCCCACTCCTCTTGGAGCCGCTGATCCCTCTCTCCCACCAGGCGCCTCTGGGACCCTCCTCCACCCAGAGGGTCTCTGCCTTCCCAGTTTTCCTGGGGCAGTTCAGACCTGGGGAAGAGGAACCATCGTCCAGCACACCCCAGACCCAAGCAGACCCAAAGCGGGGAGGAGCAGGGCGGACCCAGAGGCCTCATCCCGCCAGCCCAAGGTCTCTACCCGGAGCCCCGGGGCACAGCTGTGTGCAGGTCACCAGAAGCCCCGAATCATGACGGCACCCAGAGTCGGCACCAGGCCCTGGTGCAGTGTGAAGCCGCCAGCACTTGCCTGGGCTCATTCCAGGGGCCATCAGAGGGTCCTGTTACGGCTGCACCCTCGCACTCACCAGGCAGCTGGGGCCCAGCTCTGCCGTGGATCCCAGCCAGGCAGCAGCCGCCCTGCGGGCTGAGAAGCTTCCGCTCCTGCTGCACAACTGGGAAGGGGCCTGGAGGCCGGGAGCTGGCGATGGCCACAACGCCGTCTGGCGCCTTCTCCTCCGGGGCAGCCGAGCAACCCTGGACACGAGGGGCTTCGTCTCACCCCCAGGAGAAAATGCCCAGTCCTCCGAGAGTCTAGTGAGGGCTTGCCAGCCAGGAACCAAGACCCAGCGTGGCCTAACCCAGGCCCGGTCACCACGGTCAGGCAGGACCTTATACAGAGCGCAGCGGAGAGACCTGCCCGCTGCCGCGGTCCAGAGGAGATGGGGGAGGGGGCCTTCATCCCACTCGGGCCTGTCCGAGGAGAGCAGGCAGCCAGCATCTCCACATCTCAGGCAGGAAAGGGCCTGAAGCCCTGGGAAGCAGAGGCTGCGCCCTCAGGAAACAGGTCCCAGCCTGGCTCCCTCACAGCCTCGGGCTGCCCTGTGGACCGAAACCCCCAGGCACCTTGCGGCAGGGCTGGCCTGATGGTGGAGATGCCACGCTGTAAGCAGCAGGTTCCTCTCCACACCTTCCCAGGTGGGGGCACTTGGGGCTCAAACTGGGGCCTTGGGAACCTCCTTGGGCCTGCCCAGTGCCACCCTTGAAGCCCCTGGCCTTCCCCGGGCCGGTCGCTCTGCCATGTGGGCTCTGCTGGGTCACCTCTCCTGGAGCTGCCCACGTCCACCCTTCCCCCTGGCTGCACTGTCCCTGCTGAGGTGCGGACTGGAACAGTCGCCCTGCCTGGGGTCTGCTGGTGGTCTGCCTGTGCTCGGGGTGGGGGCTTCTCATGCAGCCGCTCTGTCCGTGGAGGACCCCTGTGAGCAGCTGCAGCTCAGCAGCAGGCCGAGGAGCCGGGTCGGGGGCCGGGAGTCCCAGCAGGCCCTGGGCTGACACGTGCCTCCTTGCAGGTGGGTCCGCGGAGAGCACTACAGGTACAAGTTCAGCCGTCCTGGGGGCAGGCACGCCACCGAGGGCAAGTGGTGGGTGCGGAAGAGGATCGGAGCCTACTTCCCTCCTCTCAGCCTGGAGGAGCTGAGGCCCTACTTCAGGGACCGTGGGTGGCCTCTGCCCCAGCCCCTGTAGATGTGCACCAGAAATAAAGGCAAAGACCCAGCCCCTGGCGGCTCAGCAACGTTGGCCCTTCCCTGCGCCCGGCCCGAACTCCGCACCGCCAAGAGAGACGTGGAGAGAAGAGCGGTGGGAGCCAGCGCCCAGCACAGGGGTCCTGGGTGGGGTCTGCTGTCACACACTGTGGCGGCTCCCTGGCCCTGCCTGCCCTGGCGCCCCACATCCTGGCCAACCCTTGTCCCAGGCGCCAGCCTTCTCCGGGCTCTGATCTCCCGTCCGTCCCTCCCTCCTCCCAGAGGCCCAGCCTGGGGCTGTGCCGCCCACAGGAGTTGAGATGATGGCCATCCTGACACCTTCCTCCACTATAGCCCTGACCACAGGTCCAGCCAGGGAGCTCTCAGGGTCCCCAGCGTCCCAGCAGCTGGTTTCTGTTCCCCCCTCAATGGTGTGTTCCCAGCCAGGTCCTGACCCTCAGAGCCGAGTCCCGTCACGTCTCCAGGCAGCCGAAGCCCTTGCCCCCCCAGGGACCTGGACACGCCCAGCCTGGATGTGGGGTGGACGGGCCATTTTCTGTGCTGTCCCTCATCCCACCCTCCACAGCCTATACGCATCCCAACATGCAGGCACACACAAGGGCACACACAGCCCGTGCACACATGTGTTCTGGGCCTGGTTTCATCCCCAGTGACTGGTGTCTGTGAGGTGCAGACGGACACACCACACGATCAGCCCCACCCTCCAGGCTGTGACCGCGCTGCCTCCGAGGCCTTGACACGGCCCTCAACCACAGGCACCGCCAGCCGCACACACTTTCATCATCGTCAGACAAACCGTCTGCTGCACATTTTTTCTATTTTCCTATTCTTATGCCATATCTATTCCATATTTTCTACTCTTCCTATTATTTACCAGCTGACTCAAAAACAAACTGCTTAAATGAAGTTCTGTGGCCTCCCTCCCCTTTGGCAGTGGCCATGCCCCCCAGGCCCACACTCTGGTGCTGGGGCAGCGGTTGACCGAGCAGGACTCAGGCTTTGGGGGCGGAGAGGTGAACAGGTGGTGCTTTGCCTGCGACCTTCCGGTGCCTGCTGTGTGCGGGAATACTTGGAGTTAAATGGGACGAGCGGGGGTGCCGCCCTGCTGGAAGGGGCAAAGCTCTGGGGCAACGTCTCCCCCACCCAGGACCGCTGTGAGCTGGGTCCCGGGAGAAGTCAGAAGTGGGTCCCACCGCAGGACAGAGGCCCTCCCTCTCCCCAAGCCTGGGGGGCGGCCACCCACCCTTCCCCGTTCCATCCCACCCTTCCCCGTCTCCATCCACGGCGCCTGGGAGTCGTGATGCCCATGGTGAGCCACTGTGGGGGGGCCCCGGTGGGGAACAACACGGTGGTTCAGGCAGAGGAGGCCGGCTGCGGTGGCACAGTGCGGGTCTTGTGTGAGCCCCCCCTCAGCCTGGCGGGGCGGCCAGCCCCAGGTGCGAACAGAGGGCCCGTGTTCCAGCTCCCGGGGAAACAGGGCGCCCTGTGTCTGTGAGGGACAGACGGGGCCTCAGAGGGACGCGCCCAGGAGCCAGCCAGTCTACTGGAGCAACCACGCAGAGCTGTCGGCCACAGGGGCCTGGCGGCCCTTCCTGGGGGGCTGTCCCAGGGGCTCTGCTGTTGGGTGGGCTCCAGCCCTGCAGCACAGCTCAGAGGCGGGCATCTCGGGCAGCGGCAGGAGTTGTGGGGACCCGAGGGACCCATCAACTGGGAAAGGCTGGTGCCAAGGGGTGCCCCTGCCCAGCCTCTGCAAGGGGGAGGCCAGAGGAGCCAGCAGCCCTCCGTGCCCCCTGCCTGGAACCCTCCCGTGTGGCCGCCCTCCCCATGGTGGGTCCCAAATCCCACAGCCCCTCCTCCCGGGCTCCTCCACCCCACTCCAGGCTCCTCTTGTCCCAGGGCAGGTGTGCACCACTGGTCACCCGGGGACCCTGCAGTGGGGCTGCGGGTCCTGGGCAAGGGGGCAGGGCAGGAGCCCACGGCAGGAGTGACTGGGCAGCCCGTTCACAGGACCCACAGCCCACAGGCGCCGCAGCACTGTCCTGGGACCATGGGAAGGGCCTGCAAGAGCCCTGGAGCGGGCACCCTCATCCTCCATCGGGGATGGCAGCTGTGACTTCCCAGGGGACCTAGCGGCAGGGTCACAGGGCGTGTGGGGCCAAGTCACACAGTAGGAAGCGGACCAGTGGCCGTTGTTAAGCGAGTCGTTTGTGGTGTGGAGTGCACTCCCGAGGCTGTGCGTCCACCACCCACTCTGTCCGGCCCATTTTCATCTTCCAGACAGAGCCCTCAGCCCCAGGGAATCCATCTCACGCCTCTGTGGCTCTCCCTGTTCAGGACGCTTCATATAAACAGAATCGTGGCCCTCAGCCCTCCCATCGGGCTTGTCGGCTTCTTTCTGTGTCTGAACTCTCTCCACAGAGCCTGTGCGAGACACCCCGCCCCCCGCCGCCTGTGCCCTGTGTGACGGAGGGTCCTGCCTGCCGGTGCGGGGCAGTGAGGCCAGCGGCCCCCACACAGGTCGGACGGATGCCTGTGGTCAGGAAGTCCCCTGGGACCCTGGGGGCGGAGGCCTGGCATCTGAAAGGGTGCTCAGCGGTGGGGGCCATGGTGTGATCTGCCCTCCCCCTCTCGGCCAGCCTCGGGGGCTTGTCACTGTGGAGGGCAGGTCTGCTAACACCCCTGGGTACCCCACCAAGGTCGCGAAAATAGGGGGGCCCCTGGACCCAGCTGGGGGCCTCGGGGACCCACTCCATGAAGCCCTTGGCTCCGACCTGTGAGTGTCCAGTCCTGCTCAGGGAGACCCCCTCACCGAGCAGGCAGAGGGGCCCTAATGGTGGGGGTCCAGTCTCCGGATCCAGAGTTCCAGAGACGTCCACTCACCCGGGGCCGACAGCTGACCTGAGGTCAGGTTGTGACAGCCTTGGCTGGGATGGAGCCTGCACCCTCTGCAGACCCAGAGCCCATCACACCTGACCCTTCCGAGGCTGGGTTCCCCTCACCCCATCAGTCCTCGGCAGATGGTCCCAAGGCCTCACCGCACTGAGCCCATCTCCCCCAAATGTCTGGGGTCCCTGTGTGGTCAGGGCCATGGGGCCTTTGCACTAGCAACCACTGCTGGCACCCACATGGCAACCCCCTGGCTCGCCAGAGCTTGCTCTGTGCTCTGACACCAAGTGGTCCCTGGTCCTGCGCCAGGCCCTCAATGTGGGTTTGCTGGGTCAACCATGGGCCCGGGGGAAAGGAGAGGCACCCTGGAGTCCCCGGAACAGCCTCCCTGGCTGGGTCAGACTCTCAGCCATCCTCACTGCAGCTTGGAGGTCTCAGGCTGCCCAGGTCCTCATCCGGGCAGGGAGGTTTGGGAGAACGGCGGCTTTGGAGCTTTAGATCAGCAACGCACAAGAATACCACAGACGGTGGCAGCTGGCCCACAGTGGCAGAAAAAAAATCTCCCTTGTCAAAACAGTGTGGCAGCAGCACAGAGACCTAGACAAGGACGGGGCACAGTAACCACCTGAAAAATTGTCCCACGCATGTGGCCACATACCTTCCAATGACAACAACCCAAGAAATGGCCCCACACACGCGGCCGGGTACCTTCCGACGACAACAACCCAAGAAATCGCCCCACACACGCGGCCGGGTACCTTCCGAC